GGGGTTGGTGATTGATTTTTCAGGACAACGCTTTTTGGCATCATGCTACTGGATGAAAGAACAAAGTTTCACTTTCTTGATTTTTTTTCCGTTCTTTTCTCAGCTTTGTTGCTCCTTCTTATCTATTTCATTTGTTTGGCTGTTGTTATTCCACTGTTGAAGAGGGAGGAGTGTTTTTAAATGAATAGGAGATGCTATTTTTTTTTTTTTTTTAAAGATACTATGTTATAAATATATCTTGGACTAAACATCTGAGTAAACAGGGAATGTAACTTATTTTTGCTGTGTGATTTTATTGACTGTTATTGTTTGCAAAGATAAGATCTTTTTTAATTGCCAAAGTAGAGATTTGTAAAGTGTATACAGCTTGCTGTTGAGCGGGGATGTACTCTATATAAAAGCTATTTGTAAAGTGTGCTGACAAAATGAGTTACTTCTCGTATTCAAGCTCTCTTGAAATAAATACATCACGCTTATAAGTGAAGTTTTTACCATTTATAAGTATAAAATAATAAAAGACAGGTTTTTTTGTTAAAGAATCTTGCATCAATAGCAAACGCACAAATTTGACTCTAGTGTCGATTTTTTGGCTTGTATTTTCATTTGTGGATTGCGAGAAGTAACTCATTTTGTCAGCGCACCTCACATTTATTATTATGTTATTTTCTCCGGTACTCACAGACCTAAAGTCCCTCCTCCCATCCTGCAAGGAAATCCTGAAGTGAAACTGGATGAGAGCGGCAAGAACATTATCATCCGACAGGGCGTCAAGTCTCCGGATATGCCAGAGATCAGCTGGTTCCTGAATGACCAGCCCGTCAAGGCGGACCGTCGCATCAAGTTCGACTGTCCGCTAGACAGGGGGGTCTTCTATCCCAGTCTCAAGCTCGGAAACGTGAGTAGATTCAGGAAGAGGGGGGGGCTCTCGTGGCCTTTAAAGTTAAGGTGTTTGCCTCTTTTTCAGTAGAATCTAGGTCCCAAGTTCGAATCCGGACAGCGAGGGAAAAATGTTTTTCTCTAAAATTTTCACCTTTCACATCCTTTCCTGCTCTCTAACAATGTTCTGTCGTCTGCTTTCATCTCGACTTTCTTCCCCCACCCCTTCACCTCCTTTGCCCCCTCCTCTGGGCTCCTGACTCTTTCTGCAGCCTTTCTACTGCTATTCCTTAGCCCCTTATTGCTGCTGTCATTAAGCCACACCCCTGATCTTATGGTAGGTAAGATCTACACCTAGCCTTCTCAGACAAGGGCGAAAAATCTCTGAGGTCCCGTGTGCATGTCGCGCACATTAAAGACCCCTTGGTAGTCCAAAATCGATATGTGTAGGCTTCAGCCGCCACCCGCGCAAATTCAAAATTTCCTACCATCTGAAAATGTTTGGTGGATCCCACGCTCTTATATGACCTTACACTTACCCCAAAATAAGAAAAAAAAAAGTCTTCACATAAAGAATACAAACTTAACTGTCATTCATAGTCATGATGAGAAATTGCACAGAGGTGCTGATTTTCCGTATAAATCCAAAAATACAGGATTTCTGACATTGTCAGGATTTTGTAATATATTCCTACTTATACATATTTTGTATATATTTTAATATCCTTTGTTTGTGTATTGCACTTTATATTAACAAATTCTTGATATTACATGTAGTAAACAATATGATGCGATCCGTAATTTTGGAGTCTCAGTTCATACAGTTTCATTGGATCTGAAAAGTTCAGGGTTTTTTTCCCCTTAGCCAATTTGCACCTCTGCTAGCATTTTAAAGGTGTACAAATGTTAGCATTCTCTATTCAATAATGTACAAATTTTCACATTCTCGCTTGAAAGGTGCACAAGTGTTAACATTCTCGCTTTAAAAGTGTGCATATGTTAGCATTTTCACTGCTAAGTCTCCACTCTTATTAACACATTTCCTTATTGTTGTTTAGTTCACAGAAAAAGATTCTGGTGTTTATAAAATCGTGATGAAGAACGCTAGTGGAGAGGCTATGGCCACAGCGACTGTCAACGTTGATGGTGAGTTCTCGACAAGCTCTTTGTTGTGGTGTGTCGGGGGTGGGGGGGCAATATTCTATGCTCGACAAGCTCTTTGCCATGTGGTCTGTCGGG